ATTATATTCATAATTAGTTAATAAAATCCATCTAGAGAGTGGAATTCTATATTCTCTAGCAACTTTTCGATAATATGTGTTCAAATCGTCTGATGCAGTTTCCAGCTTAGATTTATTTATATTGGATGATATGATTTCTGAATTATATTTTAGGATAATATTAAGAGCAATTGATCTTTGTTTACTAGTAGTTGTAATAATACGAACATATGATTTTTTTTCTTTGTAATAATCGTGAATAGGAAATGCCTTTATATGTTCTGTCCGGAATTCAGTCATATCTACAGTTTCCCCTTCGTCATTTTTCCCATTGGCAATAATATTTTTTATTCCAGTTTCGAATATATTAATATTCTGATTATCAGGAATACAGATATCGAAGAAAACTTTTATACCAGAAAATGTAACTACAGCTTTTTGACCATTAACAAGATAACCATAAAGTTGTAAAATGTAATATGGGATATTGTTTATATACTCATTATATTCCTCTATGTCACAAGGCATAAATGGGATATCTTTACCAATAATTAAATCCCGATTAATAGTCGCTGTTGATCCATAGTCATCATTTTCAGCGATTATCGTATTATGACTTGAATCGACTGGTAAATAATCTTTTCCATTATAGTAAAATGCCTGGCTTTTCTTCTTACTTTCCGAAATCTGTGATTGAGGAAAAGCTTTAAAGCCCTGGTGGTAGAACGCTCCGCTATTTTCTATTGCTTCGCAATGGCTCAAAAAGCCTTTTTCCATCTCTGGCTCGAAATTTTGGTTATTTACGATTGGTACATCAGATGATGTGGGTACAATAGGTGTGTTATGTTCACTTTGGGTACTCATGTTTTTTCTGGAAATATATTATTCGGAATTAAAAAGTTCAAAATGAAAATTAATTCTAAAGAATATTGATTGGTACATATTATATACTTAATCGAGATAAATATCAAAAAGAATGGCATTTTATCGTTGTCTCTATATTTTTAGGACTATAGCATCCTCGATCTATGTTTTGGTGGCACTTGGGATGACGACATAAACAAAAATATTTTTATAGCTCATGGGGTATGGTATATCCAAGTGTGACGACATACTCATAAACTATGGTATATCCGAGTGTGATGACAGACTCATGAACTAATCGTCACAACATATGACGATGGTGTCGAATTTCTGTCATCATGACACTGATGATGGAAATCAGCCACGGTTATCAAGCCAGCATACAAATAATGTTATCGAATTTAGGTTTCTAAAGATCATAGAGAAGGAGCACACCTGAGACGTCATAACCTACATCGGTGAACATCTTAGTTTTAAAATTAACCATGATCATCAAATTGATACACAGCGTACCACATACTACTAAACTATAAAAATCAATTAAATCACTAACTCAATATGCGAGAGTTTGAGTGTGGCTTAAAAATAAATCACGCCACCTTCGAATGTGGCTAAAAAAATAAATCATGCCACCTTCGAATGTGGCTAAAAAAATAAATCATGCCACATATTTGAGTAGAATACTTGTTTCTAAACCCATGATCAAGAACTCCGTCCCTTCTAATGATGCACAAATTGCAATCAGCCAGTCAAACTCACAATCCACAAATGACAATATATGATTGGATGCATCGTCAGATATATTTTTTTTATCCATGTGAGCCAACGACAAAAATCAGATATGGTTGCCAAACTAGCATACAATAGTTGGCATGTGACCTGACGACAAAA